CAGTCGCAGACACTCTGATTCAGTGCTGCCCATGCCACTGTGGGCATATTGCTCTTCACCAGAAGCAGTGCGAAGGCAGGTACACGATTACTGCTGTGAATTTGGTCCAAGGATGCCGTTCCTTATGCAGCCACGTGTCTGATTGTGCACCCTGTTTATTCATACAGGATTTACCAGTCCTTACATGAGTACTGATGCATTTGCATCAGAGCAAGAAACAGATTTCACTTTAGTGACTGCTTCTCTTGTTGGAGTTTGTTCTTTCTAATGTTGCCAAAGTAACAATCCTTTCCTGTAGCTGAGAGAAAACTCCAGAGTGGTCTGGAGAAGAAGGAGGGTGAGGGATTTGGTGAAAAAGCAAAAAGTGGGAGTGAGACGCAGTGAACTGTAAGAGGACTGGCTTGCTGAGCGGCATGCCTGCTCCTATTCCGAAAAAAGAAGAACAGGAGTACTTGTGGCACCTTAGAGACTAACAAATTTATTAGAGCATAAGCTTTCGTGGACTACAGCCCACTTCTTCAGATGCAAACTCTCTCATGTTCTGCAAAGGATACAAGTCAGTGACAAAGTGTTCCTGGCATGGGAGAAGGGAATTCTGAGCTTTTCCTGAGCAGAGCGCACAAAAATTACATGTGTACATAAGATGAATCCGTTTTTAACTAATCAGACTCTGAGAGCCAAGTCCACTCCTGGTGTAACTTCATGGAAGCCAGTGGAGTTGCACTCAGAATGAATCTGGGCCGTAGTTTTTAACAGTGGTCATTGATGAAGGTGCTATTTCTGGATTTTTAGCCCTTTGAAAGTTATGAATGAATCCACAGCTTTCATTTTTAATAGAGCCATTAAATGAATGACATCAGTACTGTACATAGACAATCACGCCTCGTCCATCTCTGATCACCAAATACTGGCTCACAATCAGATATGCATTATCAATTTTATTTCATCCAATAAAGAAGTCATTATTCTTCCTTCTCCCTGCTATAGCTGCATGGACTCTGAAAAACCCTGGGCTAGAAAATCATTCGCATTTGGAAAAGTTGGAAGCTCATTTCTAACTTTGCCCCAACCTCCAGTCTAGCAGGGGGTTGGCAGTTTATGTTGTTGTGTAATGGTAAACGGACACAGGTTAATAATACCTATCTCTCATATAACGTTTTTCATCAGAAAGTCTCAAAGTGCTTCACAGTCTTTACCGTATTTATCCTCACAGCACCTGTCAGGTAAAGGAGTGTCGCTATCCTTATTTTACAGCTGGGTAACTGAGGCACGGAGAGGCTAAATGATTTGCCCAAGGTCACACGGGCCGGAGTAAGGTCTTGAACCTGGGTGTCCCAGTCCTGGGCTAATGGCCTAATCACCAGATGATACAGTGTATAACCCTATTCCTATTGAGTTAGACTTACCTCTGACAAATACATGAGGGTCTGTATTTTCCTTACACTTTGGCAGCATTTGTATAGTTTGTCGTGCCAATAAAATCTCATTTCACTTCTGCTGGTGAAAGAGACAAGCTTTTCATCACAGAACTGAAGTGGCCTGAAGAAGAGCTCTGTATAAGCCTGAAAGCTTGTTTCTTTCACCAGCAAAAGTTGGCCCCATAAAAGATATTCCCTCACCAACCTTGTTTCTCTAATGTACATGTGTACATCTAGGTCATACTGCCAGGAAGGGGGACTCTATCCTGGGAAGCAGAGACTGCAAAAGATTGCGGGGTGGATAATCAGCTGAAAATGAGCTCCCAGTAAATTGCTGTGCCCAAAAGAGCTAACGAGACCCTTGGATGCATAAACTGGGGAATCTCAAGTAGGAGCAGAGAGGTTATTTTACCTCTGTATTTGGCACTGGTGTGACTGCTACTGGAATCCTGTGTCCAGTTCTAGTGTTGACAATCCCAGAAGGATATTGATAACCTGGAGACGGTTCAGAGAAGAGTTGCGAGAATAATTCAAGCATTAGAAAACCTGCCTTTAGTGATAGACTGGAGGAGTTCAATCTATTTAGCTTAACAAAGAGGAGGTTGAAGAGTGACATGATTACAGCCTATACAGTCTACCTACATGGGGAACAATTTGATAATGGGCTCTTCAATCTAGCAGAAAAAAGTATAACACAATCCAAAGGCTGGAAGCTGCAGGCTGACCAATTCAGACTGGAAATAAGGCATACATTTTTAAGTAAAGGTAATTAATCATTGGAACAATTTACCAAGAATCATGGTGGATTCTCCATCACTGGCAATTTTTAAATCAAGATTGGATATTTTTCTAAAAGACCTGCTCTAGAATTATTTTGGGGAAGTTCTATACCCTGTGTTATATACAGGAGGTCAGACAAAGGTCCCTTCTGGTCCCTTGCAATCTATGAATCTATAAGTGCCAAGGGGAGGGCGGAGAGCCACCGGCGGCCAGAGCGCTGGGGGGAGGGCGGCAAGCCCGCCGCGGCTCTCCGCTCTCCCTGACCAGCCGGAGCGCCGCGGGGAGGGCGGCGAGCCCAGTCGCAGCCCCACTCTCGTGCCGCCCCCCTCCAGGCGCCGCCCCAAGCACATGCTTGGTGGGCTGGTGCCTGGAGCCGGCCCTGGCTCCGCATGTGCCACAGCTCCAAGAAGTAGCGGCATGTCCTCCCTCTGGCTCCTACATGTAGGGGCAGCCAGGGTGCTCTGCACGCTGCCTGCACCCCAAGCACCACCCCTGCAGCTCCCATTGGCTGGGAACTGCGGGCCAATGGGAGCTGCAAGGGCGGTACCTGTGGACAGGGCAGCGTGCAGAGCTGCCTGGCTGCGCCTCTGCATAGGAGCTGGAAGGGGGACATGCTGCTGCTTCCGGGAGCTGCTTGAGGTAAGCACCGCCCGGAGCCTACACCCCTGACCCCCTCCCAGGCCCCAACCCTCTTCCCCAGCCCTGATTCACCCCGACACCCACCGAACCCCTCGATCCCAGCCTGGAGCACCCTCCTGCACCCCAAACCCCTCATTCCCAGCCCCACCCCAGAGCCCGCACCTCCAGCCAGAGCCCTCACC